ATGATGCAGTTTTGCCAGTTGTTGATGAGCATCTTGGCCTTAAATCCGCCCCTAATATTTTTGAAAAGATTTCCCTGTGTCCTAAAATTACTGTATTAAGACAGCGTAAAAGAAAGACAGAATCAGCTGAAAATCTTACTTCTTTGCCTTTCAAGAAGAGATTAGAAGAACATGAAAACAATGTTAAAGAAAAGCAACAAGAAGCAATATTGTGTAAAGAAAAAGCTGCACTTAATAAGGTAATCAAGCAAAAAAAGAAATTAATAAATTTGAGGACAAAAAAACCAAAGAAGTCTAAAAAGCAGAAAGCCTCTCAATGTTTTATTACTGATACTACTTTATGCATTATATGCTCTTGTGCTTATAATGTTCCCCCATTTGATGATAGGACACAATGTACTAAATGTACATCTTGGTACCACTCTTCGTGTAGTCCAGATGATTCAGACTTATGCTACTACTGTGAATCATAGTCATGTATATACATCGTTATTAGAACATTTATTTTACTTATTTATTGCTAATAATTAAGAAAGAAATTATTTATCTTCATGACAATTGTATAGAATAGTTGCATAGTATTTGTTTGCAGTGTTAATATTTCAGTTGTTTTAATAAAATGTAAAGAGTAAATAAAAAAACTAATAAGGGCTTTTATTTTTAAGAACTTTAAGTTATTTTTAACAACTGTTTTAATGGTTTGGGGAATAACGCGTAAAAAGCTTTCTTTCTTTAAATCCATAGAGCATCTTGCCCCACCACTGGGGCAAGATGTCTTCTGGCATAAGTTTTATTTTTTTTGATTTTAAAGTTTATTAACAGTAACAAAGTAGTTATTTTATCTTACCAATGTCTTCTCTTATAAGTAAACTTTAATATTAAAAAGAAAAAACACAAGAAAATGTAAAAGTATTTATTATATACGATAAAGTTTGTTAAAGGGGGCATCTTGCCCCACCCTATCCTAAGAATAGTAAAGGTCCTAGAATTTAGCCTTTGGGTACAACGCAGCTAATTGTTTGTAACCGTGTACATGCTGAGTTATACGACACTCCTTGTTTTCTGTTTTTTAAGTAATATCTGAACCATTTTAGATTGTTGTTTGTTACTCCATATATCTCTAGCTTGTGTAGGCGGATCTCGTGATCAACTGTATGAATGCTTTGGTTAAATCGATATATATATATATGTATATATATATATATATATATATATATATATATATATATATATATATATATATATAAAGCACTTGAGAGTTGACCTAAAAAAGAAAAAATACAAAAAGTACAAAAATATAAAAAGTGTAACTAAGATCTTATGCTTTACACATTAGATCTAATTTACATTTTTTTTTACTGAATTCACCAAGGTGAATCCTTAAATAACCCAAGTTTTTTTAATAAACAGTTTGAATTGAATAAATTTTTCCAATTGAATCATGGTAAAATCATAAATATATATAAAAAAAAAAATTTCGCTAAATTTTATCACAAATTTTGGTAAACAAAAAGGTTTTGGCGTAACTATTTGGTGCGCAAATATTTTCGCCAGAGTTAAGGGTAGCACGCACCTAAAATACTTTTTGTTTTTTAAATTCTGCTGAGCATTTTCTTAAAATGTTTTTTAAACCATAAAACTTTGGATAATTTATTTACAAGCCTTTTTGTAAATAGGCGTAAAAATTTTGTGAATACGGATTTAGGTAGTTTAGACCTAATGTCACACTTATGCCAAACTTTTGCAAGTTTTTGATCTAAAATGTTTTGTGAATACGCACACTGATTTCTTTATATAGAGCAAAAGAATTTACTAAACAAAAGTTTATTTTCATCATCGACAAACTTTATAACCTGGCTAATTGTAGTTGTACGATATATCTTTGTTCAAAACAGTGCTGCCATCCTAACTGTATATGCTTTAAAAAATATTTTCCATTGCTAAGTATTGACAATAAAAAAAACCGATAATTGAAATAAAGTTAACATTTATGCAATAAAATTATAAAATCAACCAGAACTAAAATGTTTTTGTAAACGGTTGTTGCATAAACCCATAGCGAAAAACCCAAAATAACCAAAGAATAAAACTTGCACCTGCCAAGTTATAGCAAAAAGTATTTATTTATAATTAGTGAAATAATATTTTAAACAAAACCTCTCTTGAAAATTACTGTCAAAATGCCTAAGAACCTGTCCTCCTGTTTTTAAGACAAATTTGTGCGTTCAAGCATTCCCGTAAAACTATTAATCATAGGATTGTTAACTTGCTCAAAGTCTCGTTTGACCAAACTGATAGCCGCCGTTTGCATTCTACGTTCATTAACAAGAATAGACATAATAAGATTTTGAAAAGAAAGAAAACAGTTATACTATATATTTATAGCAGGTATATGGCTTTTATTGCAACTTTATGACCTATTAGATTGATAACCCAAACAATGACTAGATTAAACCTCCTATAAACACAATGGGCAGTTAAACTTTACTTCCAAGTAATTATAGTTGTAGTTATTATACCATAAACCTCTACTCTGCAAATAATTAATTTAAAGACTTCTAAAATTTTTAATAAATTTTTATACTTAAAGCAACTCTTTGTATACTTATTTTCTAATATACTTAATTTCTTATATATTTAACTTGTATACTAGTTCTTCATAATTATTTAAATAAACTTATAATTAATTTTTTTTAAAGAACAATTGTAATCATGCATTTCGAGCAAGAAACAAAGTCTTTTCTGAAATTTCTCTGTGAAAACATTAAGATCAAAAAGTGTCGTTTTGCATCATTTACTTTCAAATCTATTTGGCTTTCTATTAATTAAATTTATAAAAAGCACAGATAAAAAACATCTTTTACGATAATGAATATTAAATATTTAAAAAGATTGGTAATAAATATTATAGTCACTAACCAAAACTTATTAGAAACCCTGTTAATTCAACAGTTGCCAGATTCAATCTGTCGTTTGTTTTAGGCGTAACAGCTGGATGAATTTGTAATGGTGATCTGCATTATTTCTAGTTTGTTTGATAACAATAGTTTTTCAGAGATATGACTTTGATGTGTGTAAATTTATTTCGCAAGTATATTGGGAATCTTCATCTTGTCAACAAATAACTAATTACGAAACAAATTCACTAAGGCATATGTTTTTTCACTAAAATAGTCAATTATAACTGCACATTACAAAAGTATATAACTAAAATAAGACCATTAGCAGTGCTTGAAAAAGTCTTTATGTAATATTTTTGTCACTTGTTTTTAGATTTTGCGCATATATAATTAAAATAAATTGCCTTGATTAAGCAAATTAGAATAAAGTAATATTTTAAAGACCAGTTGTATGCCCATGAAGTAATGAAAAAATAAATTTAACAAAAAAAATGTTTAACAAAGAAGCTGGTTTTTAGTATAAGCATGGCCTTTTTAAAAATATAAGTTGCTAGAAAAACGAAAAACTTATTTGAAAATTATGTAAGATACTACACTTGAAGGAGTAAAGATTTAAAAGGATAGCAATAAAATCATTTTTGTTTGCGAAAGTAACTTTTATGATGACATAATCATGTTCTCATTCGAACGGTGAAACTCATATATAAAAATATTGCAACTCAATATTTCAAAAAATTTTAAAAATGTTTAAAAATATGTCATTATTAAAATTTTTTTTAAATTATCCTTAATTTTTACAAAAAATATTTTAGAAGTCTTTGGAACTACTCATTGTTTTAGAAATATATCTATCTTCAAAACAATGCAAATGTAACGCAAATGTAAACAATGCGTGTTTAAAACGGTACGTGTTTGAAGGTTTAAATCGAAGAAGTTAGGGTGTATTTAGGGTGCCTATTTAAGACGCAAGAGATCCAGGAATCAGTGCAACCTCTAAACATGTTTTGCGTCATTGGTCTGGACGAAGGCATGAAACTTTTAGTGAATACTTTGTGAAGCTCTGTGACTTTTAAAAATATTTTGCCAAGCTCTGTAACACACCTCCAGAGGCGATTCTACAAATAAAATGAGGGGGGGGGGGTTGAATCCTTAAAAAGAGTTTAACCGCCTAGCCGAACAATTTCATAAAAAAACCAACTATAACTTGAAAATCATCTACTTAGAGGAGGTAGGGAGGGGGATTAAACACCCCATCCCCCTCCCCCTGTAAAATTTCCCCTGCATACCTCTGAACATATTTTGTGGAGCTCTGTATATTTTAAACATATTTTTCGTCATTGGTCCAGAGAAATACATGAAACTTTTAGTAAATGCTTTGTGGAGCTTTGAGACGATTAAGTTATCTTAGGATACTTAAAACAGAAAAACAAATCAAAATTAAAAATTTAGGCAGTTTCTAAGAATATGTTTTCGGTGTACATTCATTTAGTTTTAAATTCTAATTTTATGTTAAATAATCAATGCTAATTCAAGCAAACAATGCTTACTGGACTCATGACAGCATGTCTTACACTTTAAGGAGGAAAAGAAGAGGGGAAGTTTTTATCAAAAAATGGCATCACTAAATACTTGCTTTCAAAACTTTAAAATAGTTTTTTAATATAAAAGCAACTGTTTATGTTTATCATCATGCAAATGTTATATTGCAGTAACTAAATTGTAAAACAAAATAAAATATTTGTAACTTTTTTTTTGTGAAAAATTGCCAGCCTTTATATTCTTCCCACCTGATTATGAGCGAACATACTTTATGGATGACCTTATATGCATAGAGAAGATATTTGCTTCAATTTTTTGTGTTTAGCAAAAAAAGTTTAGTGTAATAATAAAAATAACTATATTTTAAAAAGTTTGGTTTCAGTAACTTGGCATTTTTTAATAGAGATTTGCATATAAAATTTAAAAAATAATTTTAACATGGTATAAAGATAAAGAAATTTCTCATTTAAATTGTATTTAAAATGTCTGACAACCAATTTTGATTTTTGCCTAATATCAACATTGTTTCATTTAGAATTTTAACAGAAATTTTTGTTATAGAAATAACTATGCGTTCGATATTTGGTATTCAACCCTCAACTGAAATGCTATTTTTACGTGAAAAAGAACTTTGTAAAATTCATTCTTATTTTATCAACATGCAAGAATCAAAAAGGTCAACGTTGGTAATGTATGGAATGTCTGGTGTCGGAAAAACACAACTTGCAAGAAAATATTGTGAACTTTATCATCAATGTTATAAAAATATTGTTTGGATAGATGCAGCATTTGGAAAGATAGATACTTCAATTATAAACATTGGTCAAAAGATAGGGTTTATTAATCGAGATTTAAATGGTAATTATAACGATGTAGAAATAATTGTTGAAAAAATTCACAATTTTTTTAAAAATGAAATGACTTTGTATATTTTTGACAATGTCGACGATGAAAGTGTTCGAAATTTGGAGAAATACATTTCAAAGAAGTTGAATTCGTTTACTTTAGTGACATCTCAATGGAGAAAATGGTCAAATAATGTTAATCAAATGCCTATCGATGTTTTCTCCACAGAAGAAGCTTTTGCATATGTAAAAAAGAATATTAAAGAAAATAACGACGAAAACATAGGAAAGCTAATTAAAGAACTTGGTTGTCATCCTTTTGCAATTACTCAGGCAATAAAATATATAAACATGCATGCAGTTTTAATAGAAAGTTACCTGAGTCGATATAAATCGAAGCCGTTAGAGATACTTGACATGGATAATTTTCCAACAGAAGCAGAAACAAAGTCTGTTATAAAAGCTATCAACTTAGTTATAATAAAGTTAGAAAAAAGTAAAAAAACTGTACCATTACAAATATTAAGTTGCTTATCTCATTGCAATAGTCAAAATATAAGTAAATTATTTATAATGCAAATTTCAAAACATATGAAAATAAACGAAGAATACTTGATAGATGAAGCCATTGAATTGTTAAGGAGTTATTCTTTACTTGATCGTTTTGATGATGAAATTTATTCAATGCACGATCTAACACAACTCTCGTGTAGATATTTTCAAAGTAAAAATTTAAGTACAAATACTTATCTTGACATCGTCGAAAGTTATTTTAAACTTATGTTGGAGGAAACAAATTACCACGCTGAATATGGAAATCATTTTGTTTATCATTTTATCCACACGTTTTACATTAACAGAAAAAGAATGTCAAAAACTTTTTATGATATGGCAAGTTCTATTGAAAAGTTTTTAGTAAATAAAGGTTTAAATAAGGAAGCAATCGAAATATTAGAAGGTATTAAAAATTATAACGCAGAAATCTATGGAGAAAAACATAAAACTACGCTTAAAACGAAAGACAGTATTGCATGCTGTTTGTTTAATTTAAAAAAGTATAACGAAGCTTTAGAAATTTATTATTCTAAAGAAAAAGTGGAAAGTGAAGTTTTAGGTATCAGCCACGTTGAAACACTTAAAACAAAAAGTAATATTGCAGTCTGTTTGTGTCAATTAAAAAAATACGATGAAGTTTTAAAAATTTATGGTTCTGTTTTAGACACAGCAAGTTTGAATGTCAATCATCCGTTTACATTGACAACAATGAATAATATTGCGATTTGTCTAGTGGAAATCGGAAAATATAACGAAGCATTAGAAATTTTAAATTCGGTTGATAAAAGCCAAACTGATATTTTAGGTGACAACCATCCAAATGCAATCGCAACAAAAAATAATATTGCACACTGTTTGATTCATTTGGGAAAATTTAACGAAGGTTTACAAATTCTTAATTCTATTATGAAAAGCCAAATTGAAAATTTTGGTACGAACCATCCATCTACAATCGTAACAAAACGCAACATTGTAAATTGCTTGCTTTGCATGGAAAAATACAAAGAAGCGTTGGAACTTTTTTATTCTATTGAAAAAATTGAAAATAAACTTTTTGGTTTAAACCATTCAGATGCAGCAGGAACAAAATTTCTTATAGAACTAATTGAAAGTAAGATTGAGCAGTTAGGGGAATAATTAAGCATTTGATTACTAGTATAGATTAAATTTATTAATAAAGTAACTTCATCTTTTAAGAGATGGACAGCATAATTTAATAAGGTAATTTTAGTATATAGTGAGTATTAAGATAACCTCTTATTCATGTGCGTAGGCGACAGTGTGTGTGTGTTCTAATTAAATAAAAATATGCTTTGGAACCATTAAAATCCGTAGACAAAACAAAAATGTACACAGAAAATAAATAAATACAAATAAAAAAAAAAGAGGGAGCGGCGATCTATTGTTTAACAATGCGTCGATGCATCGTGTTTGATGCATCGAACAACTCATCGTGTTCGATATATCAAAAGCGATTAGTAGTTCAATGCATCGAACACGATGCACCGAACAAAAATGTATGGGAACGATTAACGATGTATTATAAAAAGAAAAAGTTATAAAATGGTATATAATTACAAAATTAGTTCTGATCATTTTCCCGTTTTCCATATTGCACGCAAAGTACTACCTAATATCGACAATAAAAAATTCTTTGTGACTTACAAAAATCTTTCTATAAAAAACTTAAATAATTTAAAAAACAAACTACAAGTAGAACAATGGAATAAAGAATAATTGTTAGGACCATTTCTCAATGTGTTTGAGAAATGGTCCTAACATTGCTTTGACTATTTCTCAAACAAATTGCAAAGTATCTTTGATAATGTATGCCAAAAGATAACTACAGAAATAAAAAACAAAGAATATAAGAATCCATGGATGACAATAACTTTAATTAAAGCATCAAAAAGAAAATAAAAACTTTACGTATAATTTTTTAAAACAAAAAATAAAGTAGATGAAAAAATATACAAAATTTATAAAAAAAAAAATTTAACATAGTATGAAAGAAGAAAATATGAGGTATTTTTTTAATCAGCTTGACAAGCATAAATTCGACATAAAATAGACTTGGGCTGTTATAAATAAACTAACAGGAAGAAAGAAAAAGGAGCACACTTGCTTACCACAAAAACTAATTTTCAATAAAAAAATTATAACGAGTACAACAAAAAAATGCCAAGAATTTAACAAATATTTTGTTAATGTAGGCCCTTTTCTTGCTTCTAACATTGTACAACCAAATAAAACATTTGATAATTTTTTGGGAGAAAAACCCACCACTAGTATAAATAATGAAAAGATAACTAAAATTGAATTTAATAAAGCAATTATCAAAGTTAAACGCAACAAGTCATGTGGATATGATGGTATTTCCAGTAATGTAGCAATTTATACAGTGGTTTTCATAAATTTAGACGAACTCATATTTGAGAATAGAAATTTTTAGTTTTTTAACGATCAAACAATGACGAAAAAAGATTTCGGTTTAGTTTTTTTTCTTTTTATTATATAAATACATACAGAATTCAAAATTTAAAAAAAGTTTACAAAAACAAAATAAAATACTAAGTAATAATTAGGTACAACTACATGGTATTAAAAAAATGAGACAATAAAAATTGTTCATAAATTTAGACGCAAGATACATTAGAAGGCGTAGTTTATGAACCAATCAATATTTTGTGTATCCGCTTTTTGCATTAATACAACTAAGAACTCTTCTAGGCATAGACTCAACAAGATTTTCGCACATCGCTTCTAGTACCTCATACTAGGTCTCCTTAAGGAATTCCTTCAGCTGACCAAGTGTGGAAATTTGAACCTTTGCTAATTCACGGTCAATCTAAGACCAAACGTTTTCAATCGGGAGGCCACGGTATTGCCATGATATTACTATTGTTGAACCACTCCTTTGTATAGTATACAGTATGTGCAGTAGCGCCATTTTGTTGAAGTTTCCATGGTTTATCATTGAGCATAAGCAGGTCAATTGATAGAATTAGGTTGTTTTCCAGTACTTCTACGTATATTCTGGAGTTGATTCTTCCGGTGTATGTTTGGCACATACCAACACCTTTGTAATTGAAGCATAACCAAATTCTTATTGAGCCTCCTCCACTTTGTACAGTTGGTCTAATGTACCTGGCGTAATACTTTTCGTGAGCCATTCTTTTGACTTTTATGTTAGATTTGCGATTGATAAGCTCAAAGTTACTCTCATCACTTCACATAATGTTTTCCCATTGTTCTATTGTCCAATACCTTCTTTTCACGACACCATTTTAGTCTTCTTTGTTTATCATATGGACGCAGAAGCGGTTTCTTCAAAGCAGTGTAGACTTCAATCTTGTATTTGATAAGTATTCGGCGGACTATGCTTTGAGAAATAGATGTATTTCGCGTTGTATTGAACTCTGTGTTCAATTCTTTGTAACTAATTCTTGGATTAGCTTTGACAGCTCTAAAACGAACACTGTCGTCCTTTTTGGTGGTTGACAAGGGTCTACCTGGCCTCGTTTTCTCGCTGGCACCACCAGTGTGAAGAAAGTTTTGTTTTGTTGTCCGAACGCATTTCTCAGAAAATCCAATTAACTTGGCAATTTCTCTATTACTTTTGGTTCCTTCTTTGATGTGCGCAATAATTTGCCATCTTTCACCTTGAGTGATACGTCTTTTGCCCATTTTTCACGTCTTTTTAGTGCAAAACTAACTTAACTTTTGTTTATTTATTAAATAATGATTAACTAATTCCAGGTAAGTCATATTTATATAAGGTTTTTTGACAAAATCAATTAATTTAGGCCTATTAATGATAAATATGGGAAAAAACTACTCATTAACTATCAATTAACAAGATATAAGACTTTTTTGATGGTGCGTCTAAATTTATTGAACAAAATAAAATTAAGCTTATCAATTAACTTTTTTGTGTTAATCGGTATAGAATAAGTAATAAACATCCTGTAAAAAAAATTAAGGTACTCTTTAATAGAGTTTTACTTCCTCTTTTAAGTTATATATCAAACATAGCGGTAGCACTTTTATTTTATTTTTATTTTGAGTATTTTCTTAAACTAATGAAAATAAAAAATGAATGCGTCTAAATTTATGAAAGCTACTGTATAATGGACAGCATTAGTAAACCATTATTTTATTTAAAATCATCTTCATTCGAAAATAGTATATTCCCTAACAAACTTAAACTAGCCAAAATTAATCCAATTCTCAAAACAGGTGATTGCAATAATGTTTCCACCTACCGGCCTATTTCTCTTCTTCCAGTACTTTCAAAAGTATTTGAGAGAATAATATATAACAGAGTAAACAATTACATTACCTTAAACAATTTATTATACAAAAATCAGTTTGGATTTCAAAGTATGTGTTCAACTGAACATGCTATTATTAAACTTGCTGACAAAGTATTCACGTTGTTTGATAGTGATGAGCTGGTATTAGGAGTTTTTGTTGATCTTTCCAAGGCCTTTGATACGGTTGATCACAGCATTTTACTTTCCAAGTTAAAATACTACGGTATAATAGGCTCAACATTTAACTGGATTTATAGCTATTTGTCTAACAGAAAGCAATTTGTATTACTAGGAAAGTCAGGAGCCCTCGATATTACGTGTGGAGTTCCTCAGGGTTCAATCCTAGGTCCATTATTGATCTTAATTTATATTAACGATATGCATAAAGCATCCCAAAAAATATCTACAATTATGTATGCTGAAGATACAAATTTACGTTTTAATTGAAGGCTACCCAAGAAGTGTTCGACTGCATTTTTATCCTCTATAAGTTACAGGTGCCTCAGCCTGTCCATCACATCGGACTTCCACATAAGATTAACTGCAGGGTGCCTGTTTTGCAATCAGGCGTGTGGAGCTTTCATTTAAGTAAAAGCAGCGCCTTCTAATGGTATGTTAAGGCACACAAAGTTAGCATAGATGATGAAGGGTACACGTATCTGTTTATGATAGCTTTCAAACTTTAGCAGTTTCTTTCCAGATTCAGTTATTACTGTTTGCTGAGGTTTTTCACCTACACCTTCACAATCCTTGCGGTGAGCTTCCAACAGGTCCACTCTTGAAAATGCATGTAAATATCGGCGACATGGATTTTTATAGCATGGTGTTTACTGTTATAGTGACACATCCCTAATAAGTTTTAAGTCCAGGTATAGTGTGTTTTTTCTGGATCAAATCTACTATAAGTAAAAGGTCAATTGCAAAGCCTTCTTGTCTGCTGATATTGGTTGGGTATAACCCTTTTTCCTATCCAAAGACTTTAAAAGAGAGCTTTGGATTTTGCGCTCAAATTTTGAAATATCAGTAATTTTTACGAGGAAGTTTATATTTGCAAATTTCAGCTTTCCGAGATGTTCACTGTACTTTGACGTTTGCTTCGCATTCTGGTTTGCGGGGTAGAGAGCGCTAAGAATAGCCCACTCAAAGCATCTATTGTCACAATATCTCACATTAATAATAGGCCGCTTTGGAATGCAAGCAGTCAAAAATAACTTAATATAGAGGTGAGAGTCTATGGTGCTATGAGTATACAAGCCGCATAATAAAAATTAAAAAAAAAAAATATCACGTGAGCATGCGCAGTTTTCTTTTAGACAAATAAAAACTTTTATTACGCATGATCACTTGATTATTTTTTTCTTTTCTTTCCCGTACCCGTAGAAAAACGGATGAGTGGAAACTCGCCTTAAGTTATAATGTTCGTGAATAAAACAAATATGGGATTATCTCCTACATTATTTCAATCCAATTTTGACAAAATAGCGCATAAATATCTAACAAAATTTTCAAATAGAAACTTTGCTGTCACAAAATATAATTTAAAACTAACTTCATATTCAATTCCTTATTGTGGACCTTACTTGTGAAAAAATATTTCCCAAGATTTTAAATACACATAAAACTAGTATAGAGTAGTTAAAAAGTTTATCAAAATAGGCATTCTTACTTATGGAATTTAATATATCCAATTTTAAATGTTTTTTTCTAGTTAATGTCAAATACAAAAATATATATATTTTTTAATTTTGTTTGTTTATTTCGCCTTTATATAATTTTTACAATTTAAAAATTTATAAATAAAAACACAAGCGGGGCCAATGATATATTAAGAATAACTAGATGTCTAACTGCCGTAAATCGGTATAAG